GAAATTATTCACCGTAACTCACCCAATAACTTGACTTAGATGAATTTTATATATATAGGTATATTCTTAAGTGGTACATTTCAAAATACGTAAACATCATTGCTATATAAAATCCTGGACAAAAATATGAAACATTTAATAAACTTGAATAGACCCTTTTTAGAATTGAAGTGGTGGATGGTGACTAGCAGTGTAATCCAGGATGCGCATTTCGTCCTGTTTGGGACTCGTCAACTGTATGTATCTGCATTTCCCAGTGAGTGATGATGTTCCCTCCGAGGCTCGGACCCAGTTCCCATAGTTTCAAACGCCAAAGCGTTATCCACTAGACCGCTTGGACCATGAGAGCCACCTCTTGTGCAACGGGTCATAATTATTTTAATTGAATTTCAGATTTTCCCGTCGATTCATTAATAAATATTAAATATACCCTTGTTGTATATCGATTTTACATTTGAGCAATTTAAAAGACGCTTATAAAAACCATTCTTAGCTTCGCAGAACGACCAAGCTAACAATGTGTGTTGTTAAACTGAAGCAGAAAAAAAGCCTCTATAGTGTTTGTTTAGTCCATGTCACATCAATATACTTGTCACTAAGGCTACTGATTAATAATAAATAGAAAGAAACACACTCTTATCCAGGTATCGATTGAAAACAATCAAAAGATTGCGAGTTAGAGACAGAGAGAATAAAAACAAGCTCATTTGTTGTAGGTTAGTGATTGTACTTATTTTGATAAATAATCTTGTGATAGATAAGTGTTTTACTAAATGTATCAATAACATGCAGAAAATCGACTGTTCTGTATGTTTGAGCTGTTTCGTATTAGTTTTTTTTTGTTGTTGTTGATGTTCTAAACACTGCATTTTATAGGGTGAATTGATTGGAGCAGAAATGTCGGAAATTAATGAATGCCTAATTCCTTAGTTTATAACAATTCTGTACCAATAATTATGACATTCTCTGTGCAAAGCGGTTTAGTTCTTATTACTTATTATTCTTGTAGTATGAATTCCATGTTTAAAAGTCAATTCACAATAGCAGAAAAGATATTATAGTTCAGGTTGAGGATGAAAATTTGCTTCTTGTTATCTAATCTGTGGTATTTCGTAGTAAATGTTTCATCATTTCACTAAATAACTTCACCGATGCTCACTTCACAATGAATTAAAATACTTTTTAGTTGCATGATGACTTCTGTAAAGTGTTTGTTCAACCAGACTATCCTATTACATGCAACTAGGTAAAAAAAAGGTTAGTAAATTTCCAGAAGTTTCATCAGACTACTTCATCATTTAAGTATTAGTATTAGTGGAAGACACAAACCAACCGAATCATAACCTGATGAACACAAGACAATATTATTAACAAGGTTAATTACAAGGAATTTTAATATTGCTATATTAGATTAGGAACATCAACACTTAACGGTTAAACACAATGGCATATCATCATTCCACTTAATTAAACTGTACAAACACTACTTCATTTGGAAGCTGCAAAAGAATTCTTCCAGGAAGTGTATTCAAATGTGATACCAATCAGCATACAGGGTGAAATGTACTCAATTTTTACGGATAGTTAAGAAGCAACCAAATTTAGACCAATAACAAAAGTCACACATTCACGCCACAACTCAAGGTAGAAATAGCGGACATCTTATTACCAATCACCATTAACTACAATATAACAACAGTGAATTTCGCGGTGACAATCTAAATTCAGTATTTATGTAACTGGAAAATACCATTATTTCTTCATTAAATAATTACTAGTGGTGACAGATTTAAGCCCTCTGGTTGGACACTACGTAATAACTAAGTGTCATGCGTGTCTAGTCCTTCGTTTGGTGCAGACTGAATTCTGTCGGTCAAATTTGCCTGACAAGCACGCAACCTAGGTCCAAGGTCTCCTATCGATCGCATCTAACAACATTGAAGCCTAGAAAACACCAAAGAGTAATCAGAGTTAAACTCACTAATCTATGTAGATTTAGAATATTGTGGTTGGTGGTGATTGAGTACTGTTCCACTCAACATTATTCTTTCTTTAAATCATGCGTCTCGATATAAACCAAGTTTAACTGTATGTCATATTGTAGCGGTCATAGGTTTCAACTGTTTCTGGGGTGACCAATATTTGTAGAATAGTCTTTGTTTTAGTCAGTATTCATCAAGATAATCTGAAGATGTATAGAGTTACATGTAAAGAACGCATAACATTAAGTAAATCATTATCATTGAGTACGTTTCATCCGTGCATTTAAAACAAAAGAAAATATTGTGATGTCATATATTTGTAATACTCTTGACTATCAATATTCATTGATTATCTCTTCGCTTAGTTAAAGCTATTTCAATTTCCATCATGGTCACTGATACGAACACGGTGGGCTGTCAAAAGTGCTTATCATTGATTCTGTTAGCACTTCATTTTGTATACATGCATATGTAACAATACATAGTCTTTTATTTCATTTTATTCATTTGCGTTCCGAGTGGAACATAGGATTTTAAGCTTGAACTTTCAAGTTTTAGTAGCAGTGGTGTTTCTTTTCACGGGTTAAGGTTGCTAGCAACCTTACCTCGGAACCCTACCTCTATACCGGTTAAGCAAGGTTTAGGAGTGCATCGACTGGAGACCGGACCTGGACATACATGCGTGGTTGGCAAGTATGTGTATTTCTCCTCATCTTTTAGAGCTGTATGTATATTAAGTTCTTATCGCCTTCCTTTTCATCATCATCATTATCAAGTGATGAAAAAAAATATGAGAATTTTCACCATTACGCAAGTGTACACATAAGTTTGTCTCTGTCTGTCTGGATTCAACGTAGAACTTGGCACCGAAGTGCAGCAGTTCGAGTTGCCACGTTCCAAATGGCACACAAAGGTAGACAAGAAAATGAGTGAAGAGAATCAATCGAGTTTTGACAAGTATAAGAGTGAAACAGAATGAGTAATGGTAGAATACATCTGCGCCATTGACAACGATTTTGAGCCATGTCACCTAGTGTCTCCAGCCATTGATTCTTAGAGTCCCGAGGGCCCCAACCCGGAAGTCTGTATCTCCCTACCTGACTCAGTTTTACTGTCAGGGATTTCATGGATTGATGCCATGTTTTTGTTTGGCCACCACTTACTCTTTTCCAACCTGCACCTATGTCAGTTAGTAATGCCCGTCGGGGGAGGCGATGGCTAGGCATGCGCAGCACGTCACCTAGCCATCTCAATCTATGTAACTTTATAGCCTCTTCGATTGATTTTCCCTCTTTGCGCAACACTCTACGCCTAACGTCAACATTACTTACCTTATTATACCACCTAACGCGACAAAGAGATCATAAACATCTGTGGTCAAAAACAGACAATCTCTTCATGTCTTCCGCTCTCAATGGCCACGTCTCACCGCCATAGAGAAGGACGGAGCGAACTGCTGAGCAGTACACACGTCCTTTGATTGATAGCCGGATGTCACGCCCACGCCAGAGACGGTGTAAGTTACCGAAAGCAAGCCGAGCTTTTTGGATCCGTGCTGAGATTTCGTCACCAATCAATCCGTTGGTGCTGATACAACTTCCTCATATAGGTGAAGTGGTCAACATGTTCTATCACTTCACTCCCTATCACGAAGCTAGGAGTTGACGTAGTCCAGTCATTCCTGTAGCAGCATCTTACATTTTACAGGGGCGAATCGCATGCCAAACATACGAAGATTGCTGCTCAGGGTGTTCAGAAGACTCTGAATTTTGTCAGCGTCCTCCCCTAACAGGACTATGTCATCTGCATATTCTAAGTCCGTAAGACTATTCCCTGGTAACAAGTCGATTCCTAAGTCGTTAAGTTCAGTTTAGGATACTTCCATTAGCATATCTATGATGAAGTTAAACAGAAAAGGGGAAAGTGGACATCCTTGACGGACACCACTGGTTGTTATCAATTCAGACGACAATTCCCCATAAGCCATTACATGGCTACGTGAGTTTGAGTAGAGTGCCTTGATTAGTGCAATGTACTTTCTTGGCACTCCCTTCACAGTCAAACATCGCCATAGTACCTCTCGATCCACGGAGTCGAAGGCCGCCTTCAAGTCAAGAAATATGGCAATTGTTGGACGCCTAAAAGTGTGTACACATAAGTTAACCTATCCACACTTTGTGCAGAGTCATGTGTTGTTTTGTCTGTTATAACGGTAGGGGAATTTAATGAAGGACGTTGTCACCTTGTTCTGTCTGCGCCTGACTAATATGCCTATCTGCTCCTGGTACCTTCCGATTCAGCGAACCACGCAAATATCAAAAGACAAAGTCTGGTCTGTGACTGTTTATTGTAGTACAACAACTACGACAAACTACGACGACGACAATAAACTTATTTAGGAAATGGTATTTATACATTCTTACAACCAATACAGACAGCTAACAGTATTTGAAATAATTGGTCGTAATAGTCAATAACAAAATGCGTGAGAAATGATGATGTATCACATATGCGAGATTAACAGTCGTTAAGATAATTGAACAATAACAAAGTGCCTGGGAAATGATAATATACCACTTATGCGAGATTAACAGTCGTTAAGATAATTGAACAATAACAAAGTGCCTGGGAAATGATAATATACCCACTTATGCGAGATTAACAATCGTTAAAATAATTGAACAATAACAGAGTGTGTGGGATCCTATCAGTCACCTTGGTTGACATTTCCCTTTAGGGCAAATGAATGCCGATGGTTAATCTGATTTTGGATTATCTGTGGAATCTTATTATTCTAATACAAATCGCTATTCTCAAAAAATATTTAGTACTCTTTTAGTAACTGAAAATAACACAAAGTTGACTGGTACGGAAGACAACGGTTAGTTAGTTGCTTTTTTACCTTTTTAAAAGTTATCTGGCACTCTTCGACTGCATATATTAATTTTATATTTGTTATCGGTAATCTAGCCTATTTTCTTTAACAAAACTATTTTTATTCTCATTTTTAATAAATAGAAATCAGCAATCGGCATCATGTAGCACGCACCGATCACCCCATATATCAGCTTGTAAACCAGTTCGTATTCAACAGATGCGAGTAGATGATTTTTTGCCTTCAGGTAAAGTGCAAAAAACAGATTCTGACAATAATTCGAATACCAAAACTACATATTCTCCAATAAAATCCCAGTTAACTTTGAAGAAACTACTCTATAATCCACTAACTGATGATACGCATACCCCTGGTCTTGTTCAAGATGAGGTTAGTATATTTACCTTTATTACTTTTTCTTCTATCTGTAACTCTTTTATTTTGTACTCTTATTTGTGAGAGTCAACTTCACGCACTATTGTGTTGACCAACTGTTATAGTCAATCCATTAATCGTGCACTATCCGGCTTTTTGGTTACTGTATTCATTGTTCTTGGTTAGTCGTAATATTTATATATGGAAATGTGGGTTTATGCATTTGTATTTATTGACTCAGCACATGCAATAGCTGTTTTTGTTTTACCTTTTAGGTGCATTCATATAACACTGCTGAAACATCAACAGCACAGGCATCATCATTTAAGTCTTCATTAGCAACATTCTACTCACGTTCACGCTTACATCATCTTTCTTCTTGGGCAAAAGATATGAATAATTTAGTCAAGAAAATACGTGAAAATGTTGATCATATTTGTGACTTGGGTATAGAATGGCACAATCAAGTTGTAAATGATTTGTCTCAGTCGACCAGTGATTCAAAAGTTATTGAATTACGTGCACGGCATTTTGGCTCTAATGATCCCAATTCCTGTCCATCATCATTACCAAAAAAACCTCGAATCATATTTCATATCGATATGGATTGTTTCTTTGTATCAGTCGCCCTTCGAAACAGACAAGAACTTAAAGGTAATATTAAAGATAATTTTTCAAGGTTATGAAACATGAACATTTGATTTAAGAAAAAATAACATTTATATTAGGGGAGATTCGAAATTGACGAAAGCACTATGATCATCTTTAGTCTTCATAAGACGTATTCATTTTTAAGAAACTGATGTGTTTCTCTTAAGTGCATTACAGTTGTGTCAATTTATTTGGTAAAGTCTCACAATGTTATCTGGTATTGCTAACCGATGACGTTTCCAGCACAATTTATTGCCGCTCATAGTCATATCAAGGCACTCACACAACCTTCCCACTTCGTTTATATCATCGCATTACTTCTCATCTCTTGATTCGATTGATAGTAATATTTTCCACATCTCTGGTATTTGTGATGAGTTATTGGGCGTAGATTCGGTGGTTAAAGATTCAGTAATCAACCTCTCTCTCTCTCTCCCTCCTCCATCTGCCTATATTACTCTTTAGAATTGTACCTCTGTGGTTCTATGTCAATGCATGCAGCACAATTCCTCAGTTGTTTTCTTCTTTCTCTTCCTCTGTATTACTCATCTTCACGGGTTCAATCATCCCACATTTAGCTAAATTCTTATGTCTTGATAATATCACAGCCGCCAATCTTCAGAATAATTACGACTGTTAGATTTTCGTGACCCATGAAGATCATCTAGAGAGTTGAGTGAAAACCAGAAGTTTGCACTCACGAAGCCACCAGGGATCGAAGCCGGGACGTTTGAATTAGGAGACCAAGCTCATTGACTATTTAGCCACTTGGTCTTGAATTCATGGACTTCTGAATTCTAGCTTCGTCAAGTCGTGGTATAGTGGTTCCCCTAATAATTTGACCTCACAGTCGTTGATGGATTATTAGGAGATTACAGGACTTTGTCTAATTGTGTCCGTAGGGTCCTCTAATCTACAGAGCTTGCTCCTGGATGAGTTTATAGGTTTATTGATATAAGAATAAAACTTGTGCACTATGGTAGAATGCAATTCCATTATGGGTAAATTTTGTTTTGATAAAGTTTCACAGTGTTATACAGTAATGTTTACTGATGACGTTTCGCGCACAATTTATTGCTCATAATCATATCAAGGTAATCACGCGACTTCCTAAATTCATTTATATAGTTCCATTGTTTTTCACTTGATTTGATTGGTAGTAATATTTTCCATATTTCGAGTATGAGTGATGAATCATTCATATTGCATGTGTTGGGTGTATATTCGATGAACAAGGATTCAGTAATCAACCTCTCTCTCCACCTACCTAGATTACTTTTTAGAATTTTAACCCTCTCCCACCCTATTGTGTGGTTGTGTGTCAATGCATGCAGTGCAATGTAGTGCTGAGCTTTTTTCTAAGTTACTTATCTTCTCGGGGTCAACCATTCTTACCTTAGCTAAATTCTTATGTTCTGACAATCTGACTACCCCTGACCTACTAGTTTGACCTATGTAGTTGACCTCACAGTCATTGCAGGGTATTTTGTAAATTATATTATTTTGCCTAGTTGGGTCTACGGGGTCCTTTAACCTACAGAGCTTGTCCCTGAGTGAGTTTGTAGGTTTGAATGCCACCCTAATTCCTGCTTTATTTAGAATCCTACGTAGGGTCTCAGATGTCCGCTCTTTATATGGTATAACTGTAGACGACTTATATTCTCTCTTATTTATGTTATTATTACTAGTTTCACAATTCTTTTTATTTTTCTTTTGGCGTTTTTCAATCTTCCTAATGAATTTTAAAGGATAGTTATTCAACACCATCGCCTCTTCTATCTGTTTTATCTCATCATCTAGGTCTTTTTTGTGCTACTTAGCGCCATTGCTCGGTTTGTGAAAATCAAGTGTAAAACAATGGAACAATACAGATGAATTTAGGAAGTCGTGTGATTACCTTGATATGATTATGAGCAATAAATTGTGCTCGAAACGTCATCAGTAAACATTACTGTATAACACTGTGAAACTTTATCAAAACAAAATCTACCCATAATGGAATTTATAGGTTCATATGCCAACCTAATTATCGCTGTATGGAGAATTTTAAGTAGAGTTTCAGAATTCTTTTCCTATTGCTTATATGGTAAAACTGTAAATACCTTAAATTCTCTCTGATTTATTTTATGCTTGGTGGTCCCACTACTGTTTTACCTTTTTTGTAAGCGTTTGTGATAAGTAATGGTGGAATTATATATACGAAGTTGGAATATTTTGTGTTTACCTTAATATGATTATGAGCAATTTATTGTGGTTGTGACGTCATCATTATATAACTGTTTCACTGTGTGATTTAATCAAATAAATTTACTGAATAACAGAATCATACTCCACTACAGTTCCGAAGGTTGACTCTACTATTCATTCAACTAAATCAGCATCTTGGTACAACTGTGTTTCCATCATTATTTCCTCCAGTAGACGTCTACTTGAAAATTACATGTTAGTCTATTGAATTGGAAACAGTGTCAATTTTTTAAGTCCATGAATAATTCCCATCCAGGCATTACTGAAAACTAAACACGTAGTTCAGCGAAGAGTCTCTTTTCGGCGAAATCATTTCCTTAGCTGTACAATCGCAAATATACATAGGTTATTTTGTATGTATGTGTGCATTAAAACACAATTGGTTACGGTTATTTTAACTAAAGGGGGTGGGCGAGTGAGAATTAGTAAGTTTTGGGTGGAGTTACGTAATACAGAAACGGTCAACAAAATAGTGTGTTACTGAAAATAAGGTAGTAACAAAGGTGGTAAGTTGTCACAAGCAGTTGTTAAAAAGGAGTTGCGTAATAATATGAACAGTTTGATGATTGAGTTGTTCTCAGTATGCACACAGCAGGAAAGTAGAGTATACGAAATTACGTAAGAGCTCTAAATAAATACAAGAAGTATAAGCAATTAAAGAAACAAGCAAACAAACAAAATTAAGTCATCAAAATCAACAAAGCTGTTACCATGACAGTAGAAGTGGTTGAGTAATTCTCTTTTGTATACACAGCTCCGATTTTTCTATATGAATGGCCAGAGCTTCAGCGATACAAATAAGACGAAACCGTCTCGCCTTTGGTAGGTTATTTAGACTCTGTAGATTACTTTGAAAGAAGTGTTTGTTGAGATGGAATGTTGTGTTAACCAGGTTTTCAATTGTTGCACTCCTTATAGCACCACTATAGCTTTTTCGCAACCATGCTGGATAGTGTTCTCGAATACTCTTGGACAGGATGCGCGTCGAGGATTCAAGAACACTATCCAGCATGGTTGCAAAACGCAGTAGTGGTGCTATAAGGAGTGCGATAATTGTTTCATTAACACCCAATTTTCCTGACCGTTTTTGTATTACTTAACTCCACCTAAAACTTACTAATTCTCACCCCACCTTTAGTTAAAATAACCATAACCAATTGTGTTTTAATGCACATATACATACAAAATAACCTATGTATATTTGCGATTGTACAGCTAAGGAAATGAATTCGCCGAAAAGAGACTTTGCTGAACGTGTTTAGTTTTCATTAATTTAATAAGTTTCAATAAGTTCGATGTTTAGCATACTCACTTTACAATTATTGAAAACATCGTTATCACAGTGAGTTAGTGTGTGTTCAGTATGTTTGAGTGACATTTTTGTTTAGTATCGATGTTATCCAAATGTACTGATTTTAGGGGAATTAGCATGTTGTTTTTCTAGCAGAAATGTCGGCACTAGTGAGTTTTCCATATCATTGTATTGAGGTGAAACGAAAGTTAACATGGTTAGTCGCTGTGGCTCCGTGAGCTGCATGTTAATTAATTTGCGACCGTATTTCTCAGATAGGAACTCTTGAATTTGATATTATAGGAAATGCAGTATATATATAATGTATAATTTCTTTTTTCTTAATTTGTTCAGACAAACCGGTAGTAATTACACATGCTAAGGGCTCTTGTAAGTTCACTGATAAGAATCAAAGGTTAGTGAATCTGTGTTTGGTTGATGTGTTATTATTTTGTATAAATTAATTCGATGACGGGAGGATATCATTTGGTAACTAAAAAGAAACTAGGTCATTGTTTCAGTTTTTCCAACCTAATTTTGCACTGTGCTAGTTTACTCATCGAGTTTAAAACTCTGAACAGTTAGGCCACACACTGATCATGTGCTTGTCGCACCAAAAACGAGCAGTGCTACACAAGCAACCGTGGTCCGATTCGTGAAAATACACACGGGTTCTTCACCTTTAATGTTTATGTGTTGTAGATTTACATTTTGTCATAGCATATATTCACAAATAACGTAAGAAAAGTTAAAGATGAAAAGGTGTTTACTACTGTCAACATGAAAAGTTAGTGTTATTTGTTTTCTTGTACTTCAGCATGAAACATTCGTTCGCACTTTCATTATGCTAGTTGGAAATTTAGGCGGTCCATTGGTTAAAGCAGGTCCCTAGGGAAATTGTTTTCTCTTTTTTTATATAAGTAGTTGTCTGATAGTTTTGCATGATGATGGTGTTATCCCCCGTTTAGATGTATGTAAATAAAGCGAGTTGTAAACTTTAAATAAATTATTAAAATCGAACAATTCTGCACCACCTCACTACTGAATGAACAACTTCGCAGTTGATTGTGTGGCCGCTTAAAAGTATGCTAGTGTTTGATGTGAATCAGTGCACTCTTTTTGACTGAAGTGAATGGAACATATGTTATCTTAGCCGAACCACAGCTAAATTTCGATTAAAGCTAGTCGTAAGATTAGTCCTGTAATGAAAGATTAACCCAACTGTGAGTTACCACAACAGTCATCTTGAATTTACTACCTTTGAATGAATCAAATACAAAAGGTGTATCAGTCGCCATCCAGACTTGTTAAAATCTGGTAGTTTGTTGATCACTGATGAAATGGTAAGCAAATGGATAGATCGCTGAAAAAATCCACCATTACAGAAGTGTACTCCTTTACTTCTAGTTCCCTAATTTATGTTTTTTTAAAACCGTATCCTATACACAACTGAGAGGTTTCACGTTTTGTCAGTTGTCTTAATAAGAAAAAGTTAAACATTGTTATAAGAATAAAACTTGTGTACTGTGGTAGAGTACAATTCAATTATGGGTAAAAATTTGTTTTGATAATCTCACAGTGTTTTACGGTAATGTTTACTGATGGCGTTTCGAGCACAATTTATTCCCCATAAGAGAGAATATAAGTAATCTACTGTTTACCATATAAGGAGGGGACATCTGAGACCCTACGTAGGATTCTTAATAAAGCAGGAATTAGGGTGGCATTTAAACCTACAAACTCACTCAGGGACAACCTCTGTAGGTTAAAGGACCCAGTAGACCCAATTAGACAAAATAATATTTGATTTTTATTTTGATGACTTAATTTTGTTTCTTTGCCTGTTCTTTAATTGCTTATAATTCTTGTATTCATTTAAAACTCTTACGTAATTTCGTATTATCTACTATGTCCCTATGTGCATCCTCAGTAAAACTCACTCATCAAACTATCCATATTCTTACATAACTTCTTTTAACAACTATTTGTGACAACTCATCACCTATGTTACTCCACTATTATTTCAATAACACCTAATTTTCTTGACTGATTTTGTATCACGTAACTCTAATTACCAATCTTCATCTGTTTAATTAAAATAACTATAACCAATTGTATTTTTGTTTGACAAACTTAATATACACATACATACAAAATAACACATATATATTTGCGGTTGTACAGCTAAGAAAATGAATTCGCCGGAAAGACTCTTCGCTGATCTACGTGTTTTGTTTTCATTAAAATAATATAATTTACAAAATACCCTGCAATGACTGTGAGGTCAACTACATAGGTCAAACTAGTAGGTCAGGGGTAGTCAGATTGTCAGAACATAAGAATTTAGCTAAGGGAAGAATGGTTGACCCCGAGAAGATAAGTAACTTAGAAAAAAGCTCAGCACTACATTGCACTGCATGCATTGACACACAACCACACAATAGGGTGAGGGAGAGTTGAAATTCTAAAAAGTAATCTAGGTAGGTGGAGAGAGAGGTTGGTGAACCTACACCTAATACTTGCAATAGGAATGACTCATCACTCATACCGGAAATATGGAGAATACTTCTACCAATCAAATCAAGCGATGAAAAATAATGGAATTATATAAATGAAGTTAGAAAGTTGTGTGAGTACCTTGATATGATTATGAGCGATCAATTGTGTTGGAAACGTCTTTAGTAAACATTACCGTATAACACTGTGAAACTTTATCAAAACAAATTTTACCCATAATGGAATTAAAAATTGTTGTTGTAAATGGCAACAACTGCATGATATGTTCGGCGGTTATGGTGTACTACCTAATTTTACTCTATACCTCCACCATTACTTATAGACACATTCATTCTATGTCCGAAATCGCCTCCTGTTCATATGCTGCTCGTAATGTAAGTTTGATTTATAGTATAAAATTTTTGTTCCTTTTTATTTATTTATTTTTTTTAAATGAACGTGATGTGAATTTTAAGCCAAGTTTACAATCCTTAATTCAATTTGCACGATCTTGTACATAAAAATATATCAAACGGTACTTCATGATGGCTGTTATCATTATTATTAATTACTTAAATTAGAACACAAATTTGTTTGAAGTAATTTAGTGTATGGGGAAGCTCATGCACCTTTATATCTGTGCCGAATTTCTTTAGAAGGTAAAGTAGGCAATAAGTCTCCTTTATCAAGTTACTTGACAGTCTAAATATAAACCTTTTCTGAAAGATGAATCAACGGAGAACGTCAAAGGTGTGCATCTACTCAAAATTGCAATATTTTGAATAGGCACAAAAAGAAACTAATAATACTACAGTAGAAGTAAATAAATCAAAAGTGGGTGGAGTACGCTGATAAGGGTTAATGAAGACGTTTAAAAGGTTGGAAATCAAAAGATCCCTATTTTTTTAGGGTACTTTGAACCATTCTGATAGGTTTCACCAAAAGTCTTGGACCATTGAGTTTTAACATCCCTCCAACTTACATGGCTCATACAGCAACCAGAGAGTGCGGATTAATTCCCATGTTTAGGTTTGGTCACTTCTCCAGAACTTATCTTATTTAAGACATTAATTTACTGAGATTTAGTAAATTCAAAATTAAGTTCTTGACAAACAGATGATGAAAAAAGTTGTTTGAATCTTTTTGAGAATGTGTGACTGTTCCTCCAGAGTGCAATGTGAACACACTACTACTCATTCAGTAAGAATTGGCCAACATTGATGGAGTGATAGTGTGTTATTCTCCATTATAAGATATATCTGGGTTCCATCTGCTAAATTAGAAGCAAAACACTGTCCAGTGTTTTCAGCTTATGTCAGATTGTCGATATATATAAGACATGTTCACTCCTTCTAGTCGGCAAGGATTTGAAGCATTGACCAACTAATTTTTTCTACTTGACAATAAGTCTAATCTCACTGTTGTTTAGTGATTAACTTGGAGAAATTTATGGTTAAAAGCCTACAACACTGCCATATCTGCCAGTTGTATCGGAGAGCCGAGGAATGCTGTTCAGTACCTTTGGCTTTTCATATATATAACTGTATATCACATAGGTCAGTAAATATGACTTTCTAGTGTACCAGAATTAGGTGCACTTCCATCCCTAAATCTCTAATTTTTTGAAAAACATACCTAGATAGTTGAATTGAATCCATTCTGTTGGCGTACTAAGTAGAACACACATTAAATGAGCACCCTATTTTCACGCACAAATGTGACAAAAAAGTTAAGCTAATTCATATTAGTTTGTTTATTAGGTATATCACACAGTGAAACAGTATTGTTTACTGGATTTATTTATTACTATTTTATTTACTACATGCAGTCACACACAACCATACAATAGGATGGGATAGGATGACAGTTTTAAAATCTAATGTCACAGAGTATAGGGAGAGATTGATAACAGAAGCTTTGTTTATCGAATCAACTGCAAATACATGTAATAGGAATGATTCATCACCTGTCCCCGATATCTGGAAAATTCTACTCCCCCTACGACAAATAGGAGAAAACAAAGAAAGCTATAAAACTCAAGTGTCAAAGTCGTGTGATCACAATTGATATGATTATGAACAATAAATTTTGTTCGAAACGTCATCCAGTAAATAATACTGTTTCACTGTGTGATATACCTAATAAACAAACTAATATGGAATTACTTACTACCACAGTGCCCAAGTTTTACACATATATCAAGCTAATTCACTTTCATCTCACATAACTAAACAAACTCTCAGATGTTGCTCATTTCTACTGGACACCATTAATATTTGTTACTTATGGTAACTCTCCATAAGTTATCAAGCGGTAGTCTAGCTTGATTAGTGTAACATACATTCTCGTAACACATTCACAGTGAGTCACAACGATGGGATACATCGTATGATGATCTTTAAAACTACCTTTCAACGAAATATGTAGAAAAAAAAGCATGCTAGTGAACATCTCAGATATTTTCAGAGACGCACTTGTTACTCTCTGACTTGTTGCAGACCTTCATCTAAATGTCTATGCTAACAAACTGTAAGTTCATAGGCTCTATGTTAGCCAGTCTAATCTCGTCTCAAAGGCACCTAAACGGCTGTTGATGATAATCACTGAGGTAAAGCAGCTGTAACTATACTGTTCAGTCTTACAGCAAAACTAATTTAATCAGTTACCGTTGTGTAATTGATAATTTATCCTTGAAGAATCTAAAAACACGAAAAAAATGACACTTCTGTGTTAAAGAGATAAATTTCTAAAAGCCTGATTCATTATTCTTTAAATCTCTATGCCATAAGTTGTTTTTAAATTTATAACAATGTTTACACTCCCCTAGAGTTCAACCTAAAGACACTGATATACTTACTAGCAATATCAGTTGTGCACGAAATGGTACCATGTATTTGATAACTCAAAACATTGACTGGCTATCATGATCATTAGAGCACTACTTTTATATCTGCCTACATATGTGGATTCTTTTTCAGTGTGAATGAACAATAAATTTTCTATACATAACCTTATTTATTTTATGATACCTGATGATTGACAAAAGACTGGAAAAAATTTTATTTATCGACTCAAAGAAATTTGCCTAACTGTACACTACTCAACCTTACACATAAGAATTGATAAAATTTTACAGGCTGGCGTTAAAAATGGTATGCTTCTCGGGAAAGCGAAACAGCTGTGTCCAGATTTAATTGTTTTACCGTACGAATTTGAAGCTTATGAAACCGTATCAAAGCTTCTGTACAATACTATTGCTCGGTAAGCACATGCATTATATATATATATATATATATATATATATATATATATATCATGTTTTTATTTACAAATGGGTGATACGACAGTTACTGAGTCTGTTAAGCAAACAAAGTCATGGAGTGTATATACGTTGAACCAAGGCAGAAATTTTTCTTTTCATCTCAGGGACAAAAATTGTTTAAACAACCTGCTGGTCTAAAGCATAGAATATCATAAAAATAAAATTCGGTATATATGAATATATAAGTAACCTAACAGCTTAATGAGACGAGTTTTCGAACTAATTGCACTTAAGTAGTTCATGTTGCATTTTTTTGGAAATCGCAAGAAGCCACGGAGTTTCAACCAGTTGCAAGGAACATCAATAAACTTTAACTCACCTTCATCGTATACAGCTATTTCACGCTCTGACTCCTCTAAACACCAGTCTTATCTTGAGGATACATATACCATTAGAGTTCAGAGACGCCAGACATTCTCAACTAAGAGAGGTCATTCTTCACAGGTGTAACAAATGCACCATTGAACCCACTGGCTGCTAAATCCAATGGGCCATAATTATATAAAAAGGTGTCTGCTATATATCATAGAAAAAGAAATATTTTATTTCACTCTAGGATTTTGATATACATGAAGTGTACTGAACTGCAGAAGAAAATGGGCTATGTAGACGTGCATTAGTGACTGTTTTGTTCTTAACTTATTCGCTGAATTTCCTCATCAATACAATAAACTATCAGTTAAAAATCACGGGAAAAAAGTGTGCATAATAGCGATAACATGACTTCAGGTTTGCTTTAGTTGACCTAAGTTTAAGTTTCTCTTAACTTAGTCTACATGTCTACTCTAGTGTTGCTTAACAGTAAAGTTTTCGTTTTGAAAAGAAGATATTCACCGTGAATATCTATCCTTTCATATTTTTTTCCTTGCAGCTTCACTCGAAATATTCAAGCAGTAAGTTGTGATGAATTATATGCGGAGTGTACAGAATTGCTCACGATTTCAAATGAAAGTGATTTCAAAACAGAATTTGTTGACGGCAACTGGGAATTAGTCTACAAAATGATTGATCCATTAACTCTGGGAAACTACATACGAGAGCTGTTAAAAACAACCACTGGTGGGTGCACTGCATCTATTGGGTTTGGAACAAGCAAATTGTTAGCGCGCCTAGCAACAAAGAAGGCTAAGCCCAACGGTCAAACTTTGTTTCTTGGTCAGTCTGGAGGCGATATTCAGGCGTTTGATAACTCAAAAGCAATATTGAGCTGGAGATGGTATTCTGCTGATGACGATTTGCAGCAAAACAGTTCTCATCCAGAATGCGAACTGACTGGTGAGGCTTACCAGTGGTTCTGCGACTTGCCATTGATTGAAATCCCAAGTAAGATCAAACCCAATTAAATGTAATATTTTGCTTCTAAGTGAGTAATAGGACTATGCATGATTTAAAGCACTTGGTAACTTTTATGCTTTCTAGGCATAGGTCGGTCTTTGGCAAGTAAAATTTCTCAAGCATTCAATGTGAAAACTTGCGGAGAACTAATGCTAAAAATTTCAAATTGGCAGATGAAAAGTTTGTTAGGAAATAAAATTGGTAATCGCATTTTCTTGGCCTGTCACGGCAAGGTTTGTTCAGTCTTTTTTTGTATATTTCTTAATAAAAATTCACGATTTTGTGCGCTAACTTCAGATTATTACCAACTATTCGCAACTAACTTGCTATCATGTGGTGGCACCAGTTGACACTCACGCAAATACACTTCAATAGGTGACTGTGAACTAGTACATCAAAGATCAATGAAATATTGCCATTCACGACACAAAGAGAAAAATAATTCGCCTACAGTGCCTGTTGAACCCCTATTCACCCAATTCGACTACACGCAATTGTTACAGGATAAGAATAAGAAATTCGAAAAGGAAGTGGTGCAGTGATCCTATTGGCATCCTCTGGTCTTAAAAGCCATATCGTTGTAGTTATCAGTTACTTCACATAATTACTTAGTGCAACTACATTAAATGGAACTCTGGAGTCTTACTGATCTACAAAAAAGATAGGAAACATTCGAACAACAATTAGTACAATTTGACGTCTTCGAATTTTTAATGAATAATATAGGAAGCGATAAGAGAAGATCGATAAGCTTATCAATGTAGAACGTTGCAGTTGTTCGATTCGCCAGACTTTCATAAAGCATATATAGACTTACGGTAAACAAAAACAATGCAACCACAGTGGACGAACTGTACTGGAGAGAGAATAATTAGATGAAAGTTAATGGGGATTCAAAATCTTCCGCAGCCTCATATAGAGAATTCCAACATTTCACCAATATCTCAAGATGAAAACTAAGCTTATCTATCTAAAAGGAGTACATAAAGAGCAGCTCAAACAATTAAGAGCTAATAAAGATTTAGTAATTAAACGTCCATACAGAGGTTCAACTGCACCTCTCATTGGATCACGAGAGCTCTATCCTAAAATTTCATAGCTTTCTCAATTATTTACTATCTCAACTTTACATTAAAGTAGATATGCATCAGAACTGCACTAAATGCTTCTTCAATATCTCATAGCTTTTAGGCAAGTCCTTACACCATTTGACATTCGGCTTACATAATCCACTCGAATGCCCTTTGTTCCCCTTTGCACATTACTTCGAGTATTGTTACCCGTTGAACCATATATGTATATGATGTAAAAGTTTAAAGGTAGACAAATTCTTGTATTTCAGGATGTGGATATCATGAGATTTGAGAAAGAGTATAAATCTGTATCGGCATCGATGAACTATGGAATTCGTTTAAACACGGTACGTTTCTCTATTAAATATTTAGGAACAAAATTTTTCCAGAAATGGACAGACATATTTATTCTTACGCATTCTGTAAAAACTTTATAAACGCACATAAATGTGTACTTACGACATCTTTTGATAAGAATCAATGAAACTGTTTATAAACATCACTGCTCATGTAATAAATGGGGCACATTGTGAACACCAATATGCATCCTTATTTGTATGTGAAACTACATAAAATTACTCAGATCTCATAGGAGACCGTCATATGACTCATCAGTGAAGAGTTTACAGTCACATCTAAACACAATGCAGAACTTCCTACTCATTTAAAGGAAGACAAATGAGGCCCTAACTTGATATGCGAATTGTCCAAAAAAGTCTAGCTGCCACATTGGCTTGAAATACGATTGCTTCTTTATGAGGAGGAAATTAGGGAACATAAATTTGACCCTGTCGCTTATCACGTAGCGGCTTTATTATCACTAGATCCAACTTATGTGGTGAGTTCCTGACTGAAATAATTCCGTTCAGTTTTAACACGTTTGTTGCACCGCTTCAAAATGAATTACTCACCAATTACAAACACGAGACGCGGTGAGCAGTATTACGGGGCGCTCACTTGGTTTTACTAGATTAACAGAGGTACAGATATTTGTAAGACTTTGCACAACCTCCCAAATTACTATTTTTATAACACGGCTGTATTTGCCGATAAGCTGAAGCTGTTCCACCTCATTCAAGCCACCAACAATGGGACTATCTATGGAGGAATGGTTGATTAACAACCTAAAAAAATGCTTCGGATAATGGTTACATCCGTAACGCCAGGAAAAAACCCACCATCATTGACCACTACTAACGCTGTCGCGACGTTCGCTTGGCCGTCAGCTCTTTATAACGTGCAGTCCTGCATACAGTGGCATCATCATGTAAGGTCAACTTATAACGTGGCATCAAGAATCCCTAGGTAGGGTCTGACAGATAATTCGAATCAGTAGCTCGAGACGTTACCAGATTCGGTCGAGAATCGTAATCTATGTCGATCATACCGCAAATAAACTATGCTTTAAATGCTCTTGTTTTCTTGAATTCCTCCCACATTGATTCTATCAGGATTTTCCTAATATTGCTGTTTTGTTGCATGTCGTTTGGTGCAAGCCTGGTACTAAGTTTGTGATAAAATTAAATATTTTATTTATTGAACTGTAGAAAACAGTTATGATTTGCATGAAAATCTATATTAAACGAAAATCTAACAATTTCTAATTTTCACAGCAATCTGAATTGGAAGCTTTAGTGCGTTCATTGTGCGAAGAGCTCAGTTCACGTATGGCAAATGTAGATACTGGTGGAACTAACCCCGGATGCCAAGGCAAATCACTTACTGTTCGATTGTATTTACGTCTCCCTAATGCTCCTGAGCAAACTGCAAAATTTATGGGTGGGTGAATTTCAGAATTTTTTGGAGTTATTATATCCCTTATCTTGTTGTAAATGCATATCGTGGTAACCTAACTTGAATATGCTTCTAAATTTTAAACACTAGTTAGAAAATAAGACTAAATTACTCAATCATCAGTGTCATATTCGCACCGACAATTGCACGTCTATATGCAGGATAGTGGTACATAGCAGAAGATAAAACAGTCGATTTAACTAAAAGTTACAGCTTTCTAACTTTAATATTGGCATACTTATACTGTGAGTGACAAATACTAATCAACTTCAGGCTTGTCATAAAATGAAACGCGGACAGCAATGAAGTTTTCCCAGTAGTTTACAATTTCCCGCTTCGACTAAACATACTTTGTTCACATTCAGTGTTACTGAGACCGACGCAACGCCACATTTTCAAAAATTACCATGAAAAATAATTCATATACATGAAAAATTTATTCATATACATATTTCACATGATACATCAAAACACATTTTCGAGTTCTTCGTACAAAAACTGGTTTATGAATAATCGACGTGCCTTATAAACTAAACGTCACTTATTCCAGTGCGAAAACAAAGAAGTGTAGTTCAGCAATATACGTTTTAAAACTATATCATTGTTTGAATATTGCAGTCATTTCAAACTGTTGGAGATACTTCCATAAGTAGATTTCGTAACATGGACACCAATGGTTTTGTTGATGAACTCTTTGCCTTGGAATGCTCGCAGGACACCTTAAATTTAGTTGTTAATGTCATTTTCTGATGCACTTATATGCCGGTATCAGGCGCTTCATTTTGGATTCCACCTCTCACCGGTGCTGAAATAACTTGGTGCTATGGAAAATTTTACTATTAAGTGGGAGTAAAATCAAAAGAAATGATAGGAAAACGGTGTGGTCGACAAAATGACCACTTCAGAAAAATACCCAGAAATAAAGAAACTAGCATTCACATTTACTCAATCTGCAGCCGTAGAACATTTTACTGAATCCAAACAACTAACTATAAATAGATATAACAGAGCCTTTGGACAGACTGTTTTTACTTTTACCGGTAGTTATCACAATTAGTAGATGCAGAAACTTTTTTTATACAAATGAATTAGAGTAGAATTCATTCAACAGTTTCTTGGTTTGTCAACGAAGAAAAGGAAGAGATACCAAGAGTCCCCTTAAACTGAGGTTTTTATTTTTAAACTTTCTAGTTATATATATATATATATATATATATATATATATATATCATTAAAATGCATACAAGACCCAAAGCTAAGAGAGTAATTAATATTTATTTTATTCAGTGATATTATATCAGGGTAAAGATACAGAAACTCATTTGGGAAACTAAAAATAAAAGATAGGTGACTGAATTTATAGTTGAACTAAATCAAAATACACAAGTTTAAACCTTCCTCATATTTCACACATTTCTATTGTAGGTCATGGACTGTGCTCGATAAAGAATCACACCATTCAAATGGCTGAACATACAGCGAAAGCCACTGTTCTCTATACTTATGCACTTAAAGCGATCCAACGTCTCTGTCTTGAACCACGTGATTTACGGGGAGTAGGTTTATTACTGTTTCTAACTTAAATTCACGTGCTTTGTGTTAAGACATTATTTATTAATTTCATGTACGAGAAAGAGAATACAACAAAATACTTCCTCTTGTAGTACACATATAAGAAAGTAAAATTAAGTCACTTACCTTAGTTATTGTAATTGTTTAAATTGCGATGTCTACATGACAACTTTTTATCATCTCCCAAGCCAGAATAGCCTTCACAATCCATGAAATATTTGGTACTAACAAAGCAGACCAGAAAAAAGTCGACCATTACAACTTGGAGTAGAAACTTATACCTTAAATTTTTTTTCCGACAATAATTTTTAGACAATCACCTAGCTAACCGGCAAAAGTTTAGTTGGGGTAGCTACTTTTTTTAATATTGCTGGCTAAAATTTCCGTCACATCCGTGTTTATGACTACGTAACACGTTTCGTGGGTCAGACTAATATTTTTTGACACGAAAATATACCGAAATAAGTGGTGATACATCGGTTTTGTGTCACAGTGACAGGCGAAGTTCGGAGAATAAGTCCTACAAATGGAGCCTACGAACTAACCGGCACCAGTACCTTCAAAACTACGTTTAAAATTCAGAAATTGTTTTAGATCTCAAAATTCACGGAACTTTTGATTTAAAGACAAATGGAGATGATATTTATACAACAGATACGTAAGAATTCGATTAGTGTAAATTTATTTTGTCAGGAACTTATATCAGTCAGAGTACTACTGTGAACCAAGGGCCCGCTTTAAGTCAACTCGTTTAACATATAATTTGATTACTAACTGTTAGCAGTATGTGTTAGTTGGTTTTTGGATCTAACCAGACTCATTCATGTTATTTCTGAACATCACATCACTTATTCAGGTATGTTATAGAGTAAAAATAGGGAATACTACTTTTCATACAATCACTGAGCAATTTTTAATCATTATTTTAAACTGAATAGCATCAGTAGGTGAATAAATGTACTTAGAAGATGAAAAGGAAACGCCCAAGAGTAAAAAGGTTTCGAATTAATGTGCTGTTTGCTATGTTTCTTGAGAACTGCAGAATATGACATCAACTTTAGAAGAATCATAACTATTTTAGTAACAAGGTTTTATCCGTACACATCTTGAAGAAAACTACCTGACTCATAGAATAAGCCAAACTTGAAGTATCTAACAAATTTTGTCTAAAGTTTATTTGACTACTTATTTGTGTGAGAAAAGAGATTATATTTTATTAATAATTAGTACACAAAATAATAGGAAGTGTTATTTACTCACCAAGATTTTGCAGAACGATCTGCATATATCCATCTTCATGAGTTAAGAACAAGACTAGCAGTCCGAATAAAAGATGGGAGTGTGTTCCCCGAGTTGATGATTCTCTCATTGAAAACAGACTGAAAAATATCTCAAGTTTTAGAATCGAATTCATAATAATATAAGATAATAAATATAAATAGGTTTTGTCCCCTATGCTGAGTCGAAATGCAACATCTTATATAAGGATGTTTACACGACTTGAGACACTGAGAGATTTTGCAGAGCGTTCTCAGTAAAGTGGATATCAGAGCAGAGTAGTAGGAAGGCGTTATGTGAAAGTTTTACGTGTCAAAAGCAAGAAACTCGTATCTGCACACAAAAGACATTTACTGAAAAATATCTATTAGAACGTGTCTGGAATCTTTCATTATAGTAATCGTCATGTTTCATAGATAACGTATCACACTCCATGTCAAGGGGAAAATCTTCCAAAGTCACTCAAATTTCGGTAACTTGATTACTTTTGCAGTTCACCGATATCTTTAGGTGTTACTACCAGTTCTTGTAAAGTACTACTGAAGCTATTTGAATTAAGAGTGTCTAATTGGGACGACAAAATTTCCAGCAAACTGGTATGACGCAAAGTCATTCATACAGATTTGAGACTTATGAGGAAATACAAACCAATGATAAAATGAATCCGCGTAGTAAAATGCTAGTGGGACTATCCAATTCCTGAACTTTTAGTTCGAAGGAGAGTAGTGTAAGTTGAGTCAACAAAGCGAAGAGCTCACAGTTCTTGAGTATGAAGTAAACAGAAATTTGTGGATCATTACGGTAGAAGACATTTCATAACATGTTTACACAGACAGCAAATCGTTCTAAATATCTAAAACTCACTGACAAGGAATTCAGTCTTTAAATATCTGCCATGTAGAAGAGATTGAGTCTATTTCCTTGGTGCTTTTACCTCTTGTAATGACTTCACGTTGGATTTATTTGAGTTATGTACTTAAACATAGTTTTACATTTCATTTTACGCAGATAGGACTTCATGTTCATCAATTGCAAAATGCAAGGACAAAGACTGGTAATATGACAAACCTGAGCCCAAAAATTAATCATAAGCCCAGAGAGGACTGCTGCCAACTGCTAGTTTGCGATGGTCGTGAGAGTCTACAACCTAGGTTCGTGCAACCATATAACTAATTCCTATTTCTGAATATTAATTAGTTTTTCTAGATACAAAACCAACCATGGGGTAATCAAGTAACACCTGGGAACACTTATTTGTACAGCGCTGTGGTACGCAAGTGTTGAATGCCCTCGCGCCGGCTTCAAACACCTTGCCACTTGTACCATAAGATGAAAATGCTATCTATGTAGCATTGTTGTTCCGCTAACTCGACTATGTAAAGTGGTTGTTGGTGGTAAATCGAGTTTTAGTTTGTGGTCGATCAGGCGTTCAGTGTCTGCTCATTCACATCCCACTCCGCGATGTAAAGATGGGAAAGGTGCGGAGTGGAGCAGACCATTGAAGTTGCTCATACGAAGCTAATATCAACGTTGTGTCGAAATAGGATGAATAAGTGGAACATCACATCAGTTTAGCCCACATAATATTGAAAACCGATAATTTGAGACTGAGAGAAAATCAAATCATTTATTCACACTTATTAAATTTGAAGCACACTTCCTGAGTAATTGTCTTTATTTTTACATTATTGATCAAATCAGTTGAAAAACAAATGAGTAGCAAGAAAGCTCGTTAACCTGTAATCTTTTTGTTATTTGTATGATTATATATGCTTAGCGAAAACCACTATTCAAACTGAATAACGTTGAGGATTCTGAAAACTCTTAAACAAAATGACACCACCTATATAAATTTTAGAAACCAAGGTGCTTGGGACAGCTGTCGGTCTTAGTCTTTGACTTTACGGTAGTCCGTACGCGTGCCCACACAGAGAATCTAGCCCAAAACTATCAGTATACAAAGTACCTCCAGTTGAGTTTAAACAATCTATTCCATATTTGACTGTCAGGTTAATTCAGGTAAACTTTGTTGCAAACCGAAATAAACGACTAATTAGTCGATAACGGTTAATAGCGAATCTTACACTGAAATCCAGTAAGCCCCTCCCCCGGAAGTAGTCTTAGATGAAAATTGAAATATATAAAGACGATTGGAATTGAAGTGGTTAACCGTTTGATCACGCTGAGTGCTATGATAAATAGTGCCATGTGAGGTCAGCTCTTAGTTCCGAAAGAGGTAATTCGCAAGAATACAGTTTCCATTTCACAATACTGCATATTTTAATCACTGAAAGAACCTGTAATAAATGAAATAATCAAATAACACTATTGTTACAAGTGTTGTTTGCTCATATTTACTACAAAGCAGATCTGAAAAAATAAAAGCCGCTGAGCTCCTTAACATATAAAAAAGTTTACTGGTGGAACCATGACTTTTACATGAAGTAAGCACGTTCAATAAACAATTTCTATTGTATAACTTTTAGTCTACTGAACAGTGAAGATGAATCTCATCACAAGCTTGACACAACCACACGAGAAAGCAGAAGTAAATACGGGGAAACTGGACCTTCACAGACTCTAGAGAAAACTCATTTGGGGCATTGGATACATGAGGATGATTCCGTAAGTTGAGCAATATTAGGTACTTCAATAGTAACACAATTTTTTCAAAATGATATACTTCATGCATCGTTTCTTATTCCAGTCAGAGGCTACTGAAGAAAACTGCATAACACCAGTGAAGCGAAACAATGCTTCCGTGATATATAAAGATTCGGCAACAGAAAGCACACGCAAAGGAGCTCTAAATGCGGATAAAAAACCCAAACTAGAAGACCAAGAAATGGGCTGCAATTATGTTCCGACTGCTCTTACGAATTGTACAAAGGACGAAGGATCACCAGTTCGTAGTCTTACACGGGTATTAGAGGATCCCAGTGGTTTGTTTGTCAACAAAACATTGTCCGAACTTCAGCAGATATTCGCAGATTGGATAACAAGTGAAGCAGGTGAGTACACACTAAATACCCGCTACACAATAACATATTTATAAAGATCAATTAAGTTTGACTGTTTTTTCACTTTGCAGTGCCTATAAACGAAGATATTCAGATTCTAACTGAATATCTTTTGTCTATTGCGGATACGAATTTGGAACGGATCCGTTCAGTCCTCATACTTTTAGACAGACTAATAACAGAGCTCGCGCAAACAAACGATAATTGGAGAAACGCATACGAATTGATGTACAACATGCTGTTACAATCAGTCGAAGAAAAGTACAATGGTTCGAGTCTGAAGTTAAGACTAATGTGATACAAAAAATAAATTCTTACGAGCTAAATAGACAAATCGTTTATTCAATAAAATGGAGCTGGCTTTTAATATTGATTTCAAAGAAATCGAAAATGTATGTACTAAGTGAAGCTATATTGAACAATAAAACACTTCTACATACAGAGTCAGATAACCACAAAACGATGAGGTAGTGCAAATATTTTATTGCAATCTGGTTAATAATCTACCACTCACACCAGTGAAAAAGTTAATACTCAAAATCGCTGTACATTAGAGTAAAATTAAAACGAAATCATTCATATGTACAATTTACCTTCGATGATCTCGAAAGCTGCTTCGTAATAGATGATGATTAGAGTGCTCGCGCGAATTACGCCCACTTTCACCGTTTGGCGCTGATCGCATCGATGAACGGTGTTTGCTTTTGTGAAGCTTTTCATAATCAATACGATAAGCATATGGAGGAGATAAACGACGACGTCCACTTTTGGATTTCTCTGTATTATGCGTTGGGGAAAAATGGGGATCATCACTAAGAGAAGATGTTTGAGAGTCTTCTGATGATGAACGTGGTATGTGTTTACGTTTAGTGCTATAGTTTTTCCTGTGATTATGAACATTGGCTATCTGTCTATCAGAACTTGGGGAACTATCCCCTGTTTCTGAACCAGAAGTAGATACATCATTCAATTTTTGTCGGTAATTACGAGGTCGAGAGTTATTGGTCAACATAGTTGAGTCATAGCGATTCTGGAAAGTTTCTCTTTCAGATGACGAGGATGACGGGGATATAGAATTGTAATGTCTCCTTGTGGAATACTTGTGTTTACGATGACGATGTTTTTTGATCGATTCTGATTGGTTAGAGGGGACGTCTGAATATGCGGCAGGTCGAACGATTGTCCGTATTTTCGTAGAGTTTTCATGAACTAATCTACAAAACAATAATCCAAAAATAGTTATCGGATTTCATCTGAAAATGAAAACTAGGCATTGCATCTTAGTTCAGTAAAGGCTATTTCGAGCGGAACTTAATCGGATATAACTACAGTACCTATTAGTCTAACTCGGCGAGATTTTAGTGAAATAGAATTCAACAGATTATGGGTCAAGTTCCCTTCTAAAATATAAGTAGTTTTCATGTAAATGTAACAATAAGTGACGTTGAATATCACTAACTAATTTGTCACCGTCCTATGAATAACTGTAATGTTTTTAAGCAAAGTAGTTTTAAATCTCTTTACGGTGGTTAATAAATAATAGCTTGGTTGTTTTTAAGAATACAACATGCAGTGTATCAACTCTTGTAATAAGTGGATTTTATCAAGATTTATTTCATTAAGATTAAAATTTACCAACATGGCTCTGCTAACATACAAAACAATACGGCAAAACGTGATATACGTTAAAGTTAGTGTTAATCGGAAACCAAAAACACATGTGAGAATATTGTGTCTACTATGCCAAAATGATGATATTTACAATGCGCTACATTAAAAGAAGTGATAAGTGGAATCCCCAGAAATCGAAGACACCATCACGCATAAGTCATAGCGGATTGATTTTGACAATTGTGCACTACTAGGTATACGCGATTCTTAAATCTACATGAGAGTGTAGAACCATTCAAGCTAATTCAGATTCTATGAATGAATGCCAAACAGTAAATTGCATCATACTGAAACTTCTCAAGTTGTATTTCAAACTATTTCGCGCTGTTTACCAAAGTCTTTTGTGTCTCTTTGATTTCACGTCTTAAATATTACGTCAATTATGGCAGAGTATGGATCAGTAGGTTAAAGGCCAACTATTTTCATGTTTGTGCTTGCAAAAAAGGCCACGTTAGAGACAAAAACATTGCGTTGTAAGTATTTTGACATAATACTTAGTTAATTAACAGTATATTTTTCAGTGATTGTTGAATATAGATAAAACATTAACAAAAACGTGGTAGTCCGTTTTCCGGAGATGGTCTCCCATCTGTACAAGCCAAATATATAGATATCTGCCAACTGCACAGAGATGACCCCCTACCCATATTATAAGCGTTTGCCAGCTTATTTTGAATATTGAAGGCATCAGCAGAATAACAGTATAGAAATAACTCACTCTGTATATTCATACGTTTATTTGTAGCTTGCACAAATACTATTTCAAATAAAAGGACACTTAATAAACCTGCAAACCAACACTTGATAATAAACTGATGCTCAATAGCGACAAGTTATATACAGGAAGTTATCTAGAGTTCTAGCGAAACGTTGTAACCTCGAGGTCCATCAAGTCAAGTGAAAGAAGTTTACTACCTATGACATTGGCTGGCGGCTGCACTATATAGAGCGAGTCGCTAGCAGTTGGCATGCACGGACCCTTGGATTGAGGGTTCCATTGGCTAGTAGTGTAAGAGCTTGCCTTGTAGTTGGTAGGTCCTGAACTCGACCCCAGGCGGGTGCACAATACTGAGGAGTTCAGAACCAGGACGAAATGGCTCTCCAGCAATCTGGTTTTTCAGTGGTTTCCTAACTGACGTCATCTCGTGACCAAACCTGTAACATCATATAGACACAGTTAACGAGCATAACTATCAACCAAACATTTATTCAATGTACCTAACTGACTAATTTTAACGTAGAACTTTGCACAGATGTCCAGCAGTTCGAGTCTCCACACTCCATGTAGCACACAAAGCAAGAGAAGAAAGTAAAAAGAAATGCAAAATAGAGACAGTAATCAGAAATATGAAGCAAAATGAATAGTTATATCGAAAAGCAAGAGTTTTATTGGGTATTTTAAGTCACAAGGAGTGGATGCATCTGCGCCAGCCATTGAGAACGATTTTGAGCCATATCACCGATTATCTCCAGCCATTGGTGTTTACCATCGCGAGGACTCCAACCAACCACCCAGTCTACAGCTTCCTACGTGGCTTAAATTACTGTTGCGGATTTTATTGACTGATGAAGTCATGTTTTGGTTTGACCACCACCAGCTCTTTTCCGACCTGATCCATCCAATGTTAGCTAGCATTGCCTGTCGAGGAAGGCGATGTCTAGGCATGCTCAACACATATCCTAACCATCTCAGTCGATGTAACTTCACAACCTCTTCAGTTGATTTCCCCTCCTTACCTAGCACTCGATCGAAGTCTTATCTCAATATCGCTCACCATATTATACCATCTAACACGGGAGATAGAACGCATGCACTTATAATCAAAAACAGCTAGTCTTTTCATGTCTTCCACTTTCAGTGGCCCATGTCTCACAGCCATAAAGGAGGACGGAGCGAACTGCTACCAAGCAATACACACGCCTTTCGGTCGATAGCCAGCCGGATACCATGTCTACGCCAGTGGTGGCGTAAGTCGGCATATGCAAACGAGCCTTCTGTATCCGTGTTGAGATTGCTTCAGCGATCAACCCGTTGGCGCTGGCTGATGCAACTTCCCAAATGAGTGAAGTGGTCAACACGATCCACCACTTCATCCCCTATCGTTAAGCTAGGAGTCAATGTAGTCTAGTCCAGTCCGGTCATGTAGCATCATCTTGCATTTAACGGCAGGACGCGAATCACATGCCAAACACTCGAAGATTGCTGGCACTCAAGGTGTTCAGTAGACTCTTCACCTAGGACGCAGGACTATATCATCTGCACATTATAAGTCAACGAGATTATTCCCTAGTAGCAAGTCAATCCTTGAGTTACTGAAGTCAGTCAGGGTCAATTCTATTAGTACATCTGTGATGAAACTAAACAGAAATGGATACAGTGGCCATCCTTGACGGGCACCACTGGTTATCACTACTTCAGGTGACAACTCGCTTGAAGTTCTTACCTGGCTGGCTGCATGAGTTCGAGTAGAGTGAGTGCCCTGATCAGTGCCATGTATACTCCCGGGCATTCCCTCCACAGCCAAACATAGCCATTGTACCTGTCAGTCTACGAAGTCGAATTTTGCTTTTAGATCAAAAAATATGGCAGTTACTGAACGCCGGTAAGTATGTCTATTTCTCAGAATCTGTCAATGCACGCTTTTACTGGCTTTCTCGTATTTGTTCCACCAGTGCAATACTTAGTCCAAGCATGATTAATCGGCCTAGGACTTCAGAGACGACATTGGTCAAGTCAATCCTCTTGTGATTATCACAGGAAGACTTGTTTCCCTTCTTGTATTTCGGGATAATCAATGACTTACACCAGCCCAACGGGACTATTTCTGATTCCCAAATGTTTCCTAATACCTTAATTATCGCAGACAGTGAGCTGTCTCCACCGCCCATAGACACCTCTGAAGTCATTTCATCATGTCCCGCTGCTTTGCCTGGTGTCATACTAGAGACAGCTTTTGTAATCTCAGTTAGGGACGGAGAACCTGTGTCTATATACCACTAAGGGATATATATATTCTTTCAAATCAATGTGTGTAGATAATTATGGACACCAATTTGATTGGAATAATGTCGAAATTCTAAACAGAGGAAACATCAAGTGCCAGAGAATTCCTAGAAGCAGGGTACTCAAGTGAACCAGCGATTAACTAACATACTAATATAGACCTAATTTACCGACTAATAAAAAATAAGTCACGTGACAATAAGTTCAAAGACAATAAAAAATGACCAATACAAGAGAAAATCGACTACCGATCACGAAGATGGTTGAAGGAGACATTCATTCAGGCAAAATTCAAATCGGTTCATTCTATGCTAAAACCTTCGCTGAAGATGTCCAGAAGGACTACGAAAGCTTCTCAATTAAACCAACCAGCTCAGAGAACACAACTCATATCAAAGTCAGGGAGGTGTTGGATGCTCGGCAACGTGAGTGTGGCTGTAGGCCAGTTAAGTCGCTCCTCAAAGTGTTCTTTCCAACGTTTCAGTCGTCCATCCTGAGGGCCAATTAAGGTGCCATTTTCCTCGGGGGTTGTTTCACTTATCATTTGCCTTTTGCCAACTGCTTCCCTGATAAATCTAAATAGTGTCTGGTGTTACCTATCACTGATGCCTTTTCCATCTCTTTCGCTTTTCTCGCCCACTACTGTCCTTAAATAGAGACTCAGTGTCTTTATCTAGTTAAAGGACGTAACTGCCTCTCTGCCAACAGTATTTTATGCCCATTTAGTCGGAAGCATAAACGTGAGCGAACCAGGGCGCGTATACGCACGTCTTCTAGAGGGAGCGGCAGTTTTCTACTGACCCTCGCCAACGATAGCCTATCGATATGTGGTCTCTTTGAGTCCAACCTTGATCTGTAATGGAGGCCGCCAGGTTAGGCAATGTCTCTCTTTGTCTTAAGTTAGTGCTCACTAGGAACAGACGATTTTCTGAACAGAACTCTAGAAGACGATCACCGTTGTCGGTTCGTCAGCAAGGAACTCCATACGTACCACCTATATACTTTTCAATCTGGCATAAATTCCCCATTCGAAAGTCGCCTGCTTAAACAACTATATCTAAGCGTTTTGCTTTTTGCAGTAAACCACAGTTTCGGGTAGAAATAATCATTTAGTTCATCCAAAATGGAGTCTGTTGTGGAATAAGCGGACTGTTAAAAGACAACGACGGGTAAAGCCGTCCTTCCATCTTCTAACGGACCCGTTTAGACGGCCGCACATACGACTTTCTACTGGGATCCAGTCAAGACTTGATTTCTCTGCTCTAACACTCAATGATATCCCTACACTTGCGAGTTGTCACGAACAAACAGTGAAGTCTCCTGACACCCTCAAGGTGAATTTTTGACAGATTCACCTTGTCGATGGGGTTGTGAATAGCCACACTCGAGTCTTGTATGCATGTCTTCAACTCGAGATGTCAGAGTTCTGGTTAGTGATGTCTGTTGTCCGCTTTCGCAAAGGGTCCTGACGTTGAAGGCCCCTATATGAAGTTGGCGGCATGGCATTAAGAGGCTGCCAGGGGTATTGTTCTGGCTCTCATCTTTATCTGTGGTCACAGAATGAAATGACTGCAGAATAGGATTGACAATAGTAATGAAGCAAGATGGTGAGGCTGACAGGGATAAAGGAGAATGATTATCAGGAGTGCTTCGTATACTTTTGGAAGTGTGTGAATGGTTCTTACTTTCCGAGTACCCACACCGTGGATGTTGACTGATTCTTGAGCTACCTGAAACAGAAAGAGAGTTAGTGTTGCGTGACCGCAGAGCCCAGGAGACAACTGCTTGAGGCCGGCCACACACGGTCTGTATGAACTGGTGTTTGCTTTGGTTCCATAACTTACCACCGACTACGGGCCCCCGTAGAGTAAGTTGGGATGTGCGACTCTTGGGGTCAACCTTTTCTGACGCCCTGTGTCGAGTGGAAAGACAAAATAGCTGACATGATGATCATCTGTGGGAAACACCTAACTGCTGTTACATCCCTGCCCCCCAGCAGTACGACTTCGCCCATAGACTCCCAACATAGTGTAAGGAGTTTTACACTATGCCGGTAGCTGCTTTTAGTCTAATCGCTATCCTAACTATGTTCCTAGCATGGTAGGATCTCCATAAAGATTAGTTACAGCCAGTGTAGCTTGTTGGGTCATTGCAACATGCAGGCCCGCCCATCATAGTGATGCCATCTGTTTGAACACTTTTCTGTAAGCAGAGCAGGTGTCCATTCTGATTTTCTGGTTGAAATTTGACTACAAAGACCAACAAGCCACAGTCCTACTGATTGTGTAAGTTGATAAAGACAATTCCCTTTATAACTATAAAGAGGTACTCAGTGGCTAAACTGGAACAGAAGTATGAAAATCGAATTACTACGTCTAATTAAGTCAATAATTCATGAATAAGAAATAAATTAGGATTAATGCGCGTGTATTTGCTGCCTACAATCTGCAAGCTACTTAAAATTCGAAACGAATAACAAACACGACTGATGAAGTACCGATTCACTACCTTCAGTTTTTTGTATGATAAACATAAGATGTGGACATACTTCTTGTTTGTGGCAGGCAAACAGAAGTTTACATATTCGTAAATATGGTCAAACAATTTTCTGAGGGACTTACCTATCTGACTTTTCATGAACTTCAGCGGATCTGGTTTTGAAATGATTGGGTTCATCCAATGTGTTCATTGATTCCAACAAAGCTATTTCTTCGTCACTTGGATCATCTCTGATTGGAATGGATAATGGATTAATAGCGTACCTCGGTGAATCGTCTGCAAATACACCCGTTTTTGTTGCCGTAACTGTTGCTGCAACAGCTTTAGCGTTAGCTAAAGCGCTTGCCAAAAGAGAGCTTGGAGGATAAGTGTTACTGACATCTCTAGATTCTGACTTAAAATCTGTAACCTTCTTCGTGCCGTTAGATTGCCTATGATTCTTCGATTTGGATAAGCGGTTTGGTGGTGACATATAGCCAAAACTGTGATCAGACCTAGCGCTTGGAGATGTCGTATTGGCCTTCAGTTTTTTCAGCTCATTCTCACGCTCCTTAGCCTCAATCTGAGATTTTCTGAGCTGACTTAAAACAGATTCAAGTTTAGCAACATCTGCCTTTGGGCGGGCGTACAAACGCAACAGACATAAAGTGATTTCATGCACAGACTCCTCGCTTACACTGAACATCTCCCACCACGCAGGATTGCGTGGGAGTGGAACATTCAATTTACATGATGCTAGATGTATACACCCACAGGCTATTGCTTCTGGAAGGTAACGGACAAATATGTCAGTTCGAAGACTATCATTCATGTAATTCCTAAAACAAAAACATGAAGTGGAAACAGATGAAATAAGAGTAGGTGTAGTTTTTCGTGTCTTTTACTTTCAATCAATAAGTCATGGGTTAAAAATTCCGCCCCATCAACCGAAGTTCAGACGATGTCATCAGACCTTATACGACAGATGTAGCCTGTTTTTATTTTCCTCAAAATAATAGGAAATGAGCATTGAATTAAGACGTACAAAATACCGACCACTCCATGGAGTCACTCAAAGGAATATCTAATTCGACAGCGGGAATGAAAAAGTACCAAGTAATAAAAAAGTACATTAAGAGGTTGGAAGCTGTATTTCACTAAGGGGCAAGAAACACAGAGCAGATAATCGCTTAAATTATTATTTAGACCTCTAACTTGATGAGCAATAAAATATAGTCGCCGTGACCCTAGCTAATGTGACTTCGTGGCTATCATTGGATTAGATCAAGCACAAAGATGTATGGACCGGAATCACTTGGGAAACTGCATGTAAGGAGATATTGAGTTTGCATTCCCATTTAGAATACAACAAATCAATTACCGAATCGATCGACATTCATCTCGACGTGCTGAACGGGAATTTAATATCCCTTTGTGTGTGAAAAGAACGATGTAACTGGAGTGACTGGATTTACTGGCTGTTATTTTTACTTATGAAGTTTCATCACACTTACTTGTTGACAAAATTTTAACGAGTGAAGATCATATTGCATTTCATACCACTGATTCCGACTGCTTCGAATTTGCTTCGTTATTTGCAACATCATAATGCTGCTCTGAACATCACAGCAGAAGCTTACCATTTATACCCTTCCTCTACACCTGTGAAATCTAACCCCTGCGATGTAATGTGCTGTGACTGCATTTAGCCACCTGTCCCCAAACGACTTTTTCTAACCGATTGTGAAAACATCCACGTAATTTAGGAGTTCAAAATTGAGATTGTTAATATGTTACCGACAATGATGCATCACTTTAGAAGAACAGTTAATTGACAGATTGGTCAGACAGAAAAACAAGACACCAGTTGATATGAACAAATTAAAGTAGCCAAAGTTGCTTGATTTTGGTCCTACAGATAGGTTAACATTTTTAATGGGCGTTTGAAGTCTTTCAACTCTTGTTAACCTATATAAAGTTTTTTCCTCTTATTTAACACCCACCTTCACCTACGGTAGTATATCTACAAACCCTGAAACCCGAAAATAATCAGCTTCTTACGAACTGTCTTCATTGCCTATGACAGCCAAATCCAAAAGAAATCATTTTCTTACGTTTGACAATGAGGTTGAGTTTGTAGATCTACTGACACCTGTTAGCGAAACAACTGCTTCCAAAACACTGAGTGATACCAGGTTTTACTAAAATAAATGAATGCTATATATATATATATATATATATATATATATATATATATATATCTGCTGACACACAATGCCATATAGTAACAATGTTATCTATGTAGTCACTTTTGACTTACTGCTGGCTGCCGCGAAGTCATAAAAAGTTAGTGCTTGTCAGGAAAAGTAACTGCCAAAACGATGTAACAACTACTTTGGCCAGTTCACTGAGGCGGGGCTCCGATAAACACTTTCCTGCCTATCTTCCCACTTGATTGAAATGAATAGTATAACGTAGAAGTTGGCACAATAGTGCGACTGTTTAAGTTACCACAATACATAACAGCACACAAACGTACAAAAAAGAAATGCAAGAAGACTACACAAGGAAGTGGGACGCCACAAGGTGTATATATTATTTGTGTCACTGAGGACGGTTTTGAGTTATATCAGTAACAATTCCCGAACACGGATTCTTTGCATTCCACGGGACCCAGTCAGATACACAGGACCTTGCTATGTGGTTCAAGCCGCTAGTCAAAGACCTCAAAAACCTTATCTAGCTCTTTCCCCCACCTTACATCCCTCGTCCAGGAAGGCGCTAGCCTACATGTAACCTAGTCATCTCAATCGATGCCACTTTACAACCTCATTGAGTGGCTTGTAATCTAACTCTACACCTAACCTTACTGTAAGTGACTACGTTGCAACACAACATACGAAACTGAGTGTGGTCATGTTTCACGATTGTACCCAGAGAGCAAACTGCTGCATAACAAAAACATTTTTGGTGGGTATTACATATTACGCCTACACTAAAAGATGAAGCCAGTCAGCAGACGATAAACCACCAACCTTCTGCATCCCTGCCGATAATTCGTTAACAATCAGTTTATTAGACTAACTTCGCACGTGTAACCAATAACACGTAATCATTTCACTAACCTTAAAAAAGTATGGTTTTAGACAAGTCTAGTAGTATCACCCGATAACGAATACTATTTACACTGAGAGCAGATACATTCAATCCTATGTGTTTTCCGGAAGGGTAAAACAATTTCCTAATCAGCGGTATGAGCCTGAATATTGCATCGAGGTAGCAGATACTCATTAAAAATGGCAGACAGTGGGTAATTTATTAATTGGTGGACACCAAAACAGGACCTTCGTTCACAGGCTAAGGCAATTATCGAGTTGTAAGCTAAGGGTTAGGCGGTTAATCCATTCAAATTAAACAGAACATACTACATTAAAGCAGCATCAGGGTTTATTATTTCATACCACTCAAACTTTCGAGATTTTACGTCTTCCTGATGCACCTACTGGAAGTCAGTCTTAAACACGGCGAGTCAAAATGCGGCGTTGGATGCAACATTTGCATATGCGGGTGTTTATCGTAAACTCCCAATATTTTCTCATTGCGTTAAAAATATCATTAACTTCAGTACTTATGAAAATCAAATCTATAGCCTATTCAACTTTGACCACTGATAGCATTTTAAGCCAGAGAAATACCCTATCAAACTTCAAACTGAGAATTTTCCTAGCTAGAAACTGGCATTTAAAACTAAAGATGTAAACTGCCTCTGACACACAAGATCTAGATGTACTTATTCAACTAACCACACCTAAAAGACAAATTGAATCTACAAAACTCACCTTATCAGTCTCCAGGGATTTTCTCACATTCCCCAGTAAAGGACATTACAAATTGTATGGCATTCTACGCCAGCTAACCAACAATGGATATCAGTAAATATGGATATAAAATCATTCGTACTTGTTCATTAATACTAATTGCGAGGAGAGATTCCCTAATTTGACACGTGAAACATGATGGCCCCTTCGTGTTTGCTCCGGTAGCTGAATGGATGGCAATAGTGCTCATTCACCAAGCATAAAGCCCACTGATTCGAATTTCAGTCACACGTATATCAAAGCGAACCCCAGTAAAAAAGAGACCTAGTGTATGTCACATTCTGAAAAATACACTTATTTGCAAGACAATAGTTACTAAGATAAAACGGACAAAAGTGAATGACTACTTTACCTAGAGAGTAGGATTCGGTTCGTGAATAATGACTGATGGGATTATACATGCTGACTTTTAGATTTGAACGGAGTGAGGTATACATTACAAGTTATTTTAAAATAGATAATTGACTGCTGAAACATAACAAATAAATTACATGTAATGCTACTCACCAAGCAGTCTGTACGAGACTTTTGTTTGATTCATGATCTAAAGCTTGTAAGTAACAAATGATAAGCTACAAACTGCGTAACAAGTAAATATACTTACCTTATGAGGATGTTTTGCATGGACACAGAAGCCAAGTTCTTTAAGAATGCGTCGCTCGGCTTTAATTATTTGATTTTTGAGAATGCTATAGCTTTGATCGAGAAGGACTGGCGTTAGAGGTCTGAATGATAGGATAATTAGAAATGCTAATATACTTGTTCTCGCGGACTTGTCGTATGTGATGGAAAACATTGATAACATCTCTTATGCGTCTAGGGGATTCTTCTAGCTTTGCGGAGAGAAATATACATGCCATTGCATAATGCTTCAGGAGATTATTAGTATATAAGGCTTACTTCGTAAAAATGACGGACAAACGACTTGGAATAAAAGAATCGCTGGTAGAGGACTTGTGCAGTGGCCATTGCAACTTGCGGCAACCGTAACAAAACCCCTGAGTCTTGGATGAGTTCGCAACCAACTATCCGTAGGTCAATCTCAGTCTCATAATCCAAGCGGTCTAGCTGTGAAGGAGTGGGAAAGAGCCGTTCCTCAGGAATTATGATGTTGTGGATAGTTAGATTTACACCACAATAGCCCCAATTAGGATCAGGCCGTCTACTGGGATGTATGTTACTATCAGAAGCCATTGTAAGCTCAACAGTTTGAAATGCGCTCGTAAGACGTTGCATAAGCATTGAAAGAACTTTTGAATCACAGACTTCTGGCTAGAAAGAACGTGTGCGTGTCTTGTGTTAATTTTCCGCGTCATATATCTGTTTCTGTCTGTTTTCCTCTTGGGTCGGTAAATTTTAGAAATTTACCTAAAAGATTAATGACTTATTGTTAAAACTAGTTCTATAAGCAAAGTAACTTTTCCTTAGAATTCACACATTGCTGACTTCGAGTCATTGAAACTCTAACGAGCGGAATGGAGAGTATTTTCTACCGTCTGTCCTGTTATAAAGGGAGGAGATTCAATCATTTAGTCTTCGTTTTGTCGTAAACATGTCAATCTTGGGACTAGAACATCTTTCGAAATCTGTGTCGAATGTCTAAATCAGCCTTTATTTAAAGCCAATTGGGCTGGAAGAAAATTTCCAGTTTTGGTGTCGCCAGATATGTTTACAGAGTACTGGATATACCGCTTGTGTTCCTAGTCGAAAGGTCAGTTAGAGGAAACATTCAACCCCTACTTAGGCAAACAGCTTTCAGTCGAATACCGTTCGTACTCTTTTCTGCTTATCTATTCTGTCTAGCCAGTATGCAAAACACATGCATCAGTTCAGGCACATTAAGCCTGATACAGATTATTCTGTATGATAAAGCTGTTATCCACATATATGGTGTAATGACTTCCAACAGTTAAATCTGATTTAAACGAGGTGTTAAGATGACATATCATGAGACGATACCATTTTCTGGTTTTTCATTATCCCTTTTACTCGGAAATTGAAGAGTGATGTCACATCACTCGGATAATCAGCGGAGTGAGTACTCTTTGCGAATTTCTGCGAGGAGGTCAGTAAAAGTCTTCCCTTAGAGTACTAGAGTTGGTTCGTGGTGAAATCTGCATCGAAATTAACCCAAATTCACAGACCAAATATTGTTTCTCAACTCCCCAAAAGCCAATGGATGGACATCCTTATGTAGTACTGAGAAATCACAAACAGTGCTGCCCACCATGTCAAAGTAAATTCAATGCTCATCGAGGGCATCTGGCAGAATGAGAGATCATGAGTCAATGCATTCTGACCCGAATGAATGAATGGTCGACCAGCTTAGTCTGGTCATCAGAAGGTCTCAGTGCCATCTGTGCCAACTTATGAAGAGTTCCAAGCTGGAACGATATGGCTATTGAGTGCTGTCTGGCTTTCAGGGGTCTCTAACAGATATTGGCCCTGGCGAAATCCGCACCGAAATTAAGCCATAACCCTATAAAATCCTATGATCTAAATACCTAGGACAACAGAAGCACCTCTTATTAGGGCTGATACAATCAGCAGTAAACTGCGAAATCTGGCCATGGTCTCACTATTTGAAGACTATAACAGCTAAAATTTATCAGGGATATTCTGTGACCCCTGTTCTGTAATTACTCGAAGAGGCTTTTCCATTGCATTTATTAAAGCCACTTTTCTAGGTGGCGTCCCAATAAATACTGCTCCCACCTAGTGATACAGACAGTGCACACCACCGCATTATGTGTGTTCACCTGAATCTCGTTCGCGTGGCCATCTTGGACTTTCTTTGGTCATTCACTTCTTCGTCTAGATATAAACAAATTCGAGCAGTCATTTATAAGAAACTGTTAGCTGGGCTATGTAAGCGGAACCCAAGGTTGCGGGACCCATCCACTGGTTTTTCGGACAAAGAATATATTCCGGAAGCAGCTTCAAAAAGGTTTCCCACCTCAGGTGTCCCCACCCATGCGTTGATTAATATTAGTATTATCGTGCTTTCATGTTACTAGCATGGTGAAGAAAAAACACACCAAGTATTTGCAATCCCTCCAGAGTGAAATTTTAGTAAAATAAAAACGTGCGGAGAAATGATTGTCTTTTGTCTCCACGTGACAGAGGTCGATAAATCGGCGAATGGCCTTAGGAGTTAGAGCCCATCTCACTAGATGGGATAGTGGTGAGAGCAGTCTGGTTGGCATTTTATATGGGCCAGACTAAAGAGTCAGTGAATAGTGTAGTCAGAGTGCAGATCTCGCAGGAAAAATGACCACGCACTAATCTTGAGGTTTGTCTTCATTTGAGGCCAACTGGAAACGAGTTCATAGTTGTTTGGGTAGCGTCACTAGCTGACTTCCTTAAAGCGTCTTTTGCAGTCAATTATGAGGCGATAAAATAATAACAATTTAAATTTCGTATAAACAGGTAAGTTTACAAGAAATGCATGATATATTTACGGGCACGATCAGCTGTGTTATTAACCACATCCGCGAAGTATCATAGATTGATACTTTTTTTAAAGTTTAAATTGTTCAATTATTGTACAAGCAATCAGAGCAGGTTCTTATAAATTTTAAATTGTAAACCGTTTACTAAGGTCACCATCAAAGCTGAGCGACAACCCAAACTTCGTTCCGTTTCCTGCCGCAAAATGGTACAAAATACAATTATGGATAATACATTAATGGAAGTACATTTACAAGATATATACAAGAAGGAGCTATAGAGTACTTGGAATGACAGTTTACTCTTGCAATTTTCAATACTAACCATATTGGTAGTAACGTGGAGCACTATGACATTTTCGATGAAAATATAGCTTTTACTAGAGACTGGTGTTGTTGCTTTTTTCCATCAAAGCAACCAGACTTTGAGCTAGCGACAAAGACTAACAAAAGAGTAAGCTTTAGCTTTATGTAAGGCCTAAGTAGTCAAGATAAAGTAGAGTATAATAGTACGTAGATAGGAAGAATGTTATGAAGCATATAAGTGATATTTCAGTGAAAATTGGCCTCAAAGATCTGAAACCTTGGAACCTGTAGGACAAGCTGACCTGTAAGATGTCTCACAAACTTCCGAATGGGCCCATGGGGTAACATCTTGACAAGAAGCTGAGCAGGCTTGTAGACGTTAGGAACAAAAGCATTTGAAAATATTCAGATTTGCAAAACCCTTGTTTTCCCTTTTTTTCAGGGATCCAGAATCATGTTTAATTCTCGAACTGTCAAAAAATGCATGCCATACATATTCGGCAACTGAGGTGTAGTGGGAGAGTTTGGAGCTATGCATTTGACAGGCCTGCTTCTTCTCCGTTCGTTGGCAGATTAATAATAACAATAATCATTTATATTTTCATATCAACAGGTAAACTCACATAGAGTGCATGACAATTTTACAGAAATATTCACACCCTATATCGATTACAATCGATAATTTAGTACTGTTTAAACTGCCTGAACATTTGAACTAGAATATAACCATAAGAGCAAGTCCATGTAAATGTTGAGTAGTAAAGTCGCCACCAATTTCGTCATCAAGGTTGAGTAGCAAGCTAAACTTCTTTTCGTTTTCTGAGGGTTACCACATTTAACCAGTCAGCAGCCAATATTCAGCTGAGTGATATGTCTACGAGTGACTGAGAGCTGTTCCATGGATAAAAGAACGTTTTGAGAAACTGTAAGGTGGGATAGACCAAAAAATATGAAAGGAGATATGCAGAATTCTTAATGATAATGTGCATTTGCAGTGTATGGTGCTAAACATATCGGTTTTACGTTGGAAACTACGCTGTTTCCAATGAATATATAACTATCCTCAAACAATGTTGTTCATTCCAGCAACGCTAGAATTTAAAGGAGCGAAGTATACGAATGAAATTTGTAAGCTTTTGCGTCGACAAAGGCCTAGGCATTTGTGGTATAGTAGAATAATCAGAAAAAACAATTGTGAAGAGTATAAATGACAGTTTATTCAGGGGTGGCTCCAAAGACCTGAGAAATTAGAATCTGTAGGACACGGTGACATGTAAGGTGCCTCACAAATCTGCGTAGGGCGCACGGGTTGTCAGCTTTACAAGAAAACGTGCAGATATGCAAATGTAAGGGCAGAGGAATTATTCTGTTTAAGTCATTCATGTTTTCTTTGAGGTTAAGGTCCACACCCTTATCAAAATATATATTGCCGTCTTACAGACTGCAGAGATTTACATTTGTGACCGCCACCGTATCTGCTGATCAGCATGTGCAATCCTCCCACCTTTTTGATGTTAAGCTCTGGGATTTTTGCAATAACTGTAAGTGTAGCACTGAATTGCTTTGAGTCCGTCTTAATTCCATAGCATAGTGCGTATCAGTAGCTGCAGTGAGGAATGCTCCTTATTATGTCACCATACTCCTAGACACATGAGAACATTCTGAAAGATATTACCTCTACATATGTATTCATGCATGTAAATAGATCTTTGCAAAAGCCTGAAAAATTAGGAGATTTAAAATAATTTTCATATAGTCGTCTTCCATAGGTTACCTGACTAATAATAATAATATATGCTCACTTTATGTACATGAGGGAAGACAGTTGTCAGTATAGTGGTGAGTGCTACTTATAATCCGATATAAGTAGTATATCAGGAACGAAGTAACAACATGTTTGGCACACTGGAAAGAGCAATCAAAGAAGAGAACCATGAGAAGAATGTTGCCAAATGATGCAGAATCCAAGAAGCTATCGAATGAGACGATATTCGACCAATTCGTCAAGGATGTGGTAAATGATGTGCAAATGGCCGGTTCAGAATATGGTATACCAAATTTAGCTATGTACCATACGTTTCACCAAATAAACATTCCTTTCAACCTCCTCAGTCTTGTCTTCTTTACATTTGGTGTAACTGCCTCTGCCAGAGATGAAGGTGCCGTGGCCGCAGGTGTTCGAGGAGGGAGATGTGCGGACGTTCCTCAGGGACTTCGAAGCTGTCGCGGAGCTGGTTGGAGTGCAGGAGCAGAAGGCGAAGCTGGTTGTCTTGGGAACGCTGCTGAGGGGCCGTGCGAAGGCTGCGTACGACAACGCTCGGGAGCTGGAAGGTGGGGCGGCGTGGGACAAGGTCGTCGAGAGGCTCGTGTGCGAGTTCGACAGCCCTGCGGACAGACAAGAGGCGCTGTAGAAGTTCCGGACGCTGAGACTTGGCCAGGATGGGGATCCGTTGGTTCTCGCAGTAACGCTGACGAATCACCTGCGACGCGCGTTACCCACCCTAGACGAAGATTCACGGGAGCAGTTGCTTGCATCTCAGTTCCTCGAATGCGTCCCGACAGATATCGCTCATCAGTCGTTGCTAGTTAACGCAGCTCAGCCAATGGATGTCTATGAAATGGCCAAGGTGACAAGGCAGATAATGAACTCGCATGTTGCTCCAGTGATGTCGGACGGCCAAG